TTGAAATTTGTTTTTTTTTTATTTTCGTTTGTCAACGTCCCCTGTGTGTGTCTGTTCAATTGAATCGTCGCACTCGCAATAATAATAATAATGATAATAATAATAATAACACCCCTTCCCCTCCCGATCCTTAGAAAAATCGAACAATCGAGAAAGAAAACACCGTGCTCACAGTGAAAAGTGTAATTCTTCTCCTGCTTATTACGCGTGTATATACTTCGTCTTCTCTTCTTTCATTTCTTTATGCTACGTACATACATACATATGTACGCATATATGTATATACACTCGGAGGACCATGTGGATGTACTTACACACTTCCGCTCAATACTGTGGGATCGTTTATAATTACACTGCGGATTTTATCTACAGATTTTATTCGTTAAAGTAAAACAGTTCCATAATCTAGATTAATATTCTTCTATCGTCAAGTTCGTTAACAATCAAAGTAATAAATTGTCGACCGATCATTCTCGGGTATCAATGCAACGATCCGCAGTATAGCTATAATGTTCACAGTTTACGAATCAAACGTAAAGAGGTTATGCGTCTATCGGCGTACCCTCGCGTTCGCAGCGCGATGACCGTACCCCTTTCGTTTTCGTCTCTAACTTGGAATACGCTAACACGACGTGTACGCAAGGCGCATGAATACCTGTTGGTTGATTCTGTGTCTGAAAATGAGTCAAAAACACGGAATACAATTGTTTTCGTAAAGATCTTTATTTTCGAGAAAAATGATCCCCGTGAGGTACGCAGGCCTGAACGACGTCGTTCAGCTGTCACGCGAGAGTTACTACAGTAATGTGTCGCTACTTAAGTCAGTCTGTTGAACTTCGTATACGTCAGACAATACTCGGTCGGGTATCAAACACCGGAGAGAAACGCCAAACGTCGCGCGGGAAGTTCATTAATTCGCTTTTTGCGAACCATTTTGCGAGCGTCTACCTGGTCGAGACATTACTGTACTGAGATAAAGTCATCACATCGTCGCCGCGAATTCTAAAACTCACTTTCTCGAAAACAAAGCTTTATAAAAACGAAAAGAAAAAAAGAATTCAATTTCACATCCTCGATTCGATTTTCTTTTACACAGAGTATCGTCACCATCCTCCTCCTTCTCCTCCTCCTCATCATCATCATCATTAGCAGCAACATCATCATCATGATCATCATCGTCGTCGTCGTCGTCGTCTATAATCGCATCTCGTGAAAACATTTACTAACAATTCGAACACCCTGTATAATAACTTAATTTCCTTTCCGACGAAACAAACGGAACAACTTTGATCCCAATATTCTTCAGCGGTAGCGTATATACGTATATATCGTGTGTGTACTTGTATGTGTGTATGCCTGTGTATGTATGTATACCTCGGTACAATATATCGTACGCGACCTTATCACCTACGGATATTATTAATATTAATATTATTATCGTTACGGTAGCAAGTCGATTAAGTCTAGAAAAATGAAAATCCTGCCTCGCGGCGCACGAGGAGAAAGAACGCCCGCTTCGCTGTCTCGATTCGCGAAGGGAGGTAGAGAGGGGGTAGTAGGCAGACAGGGGAATCAGGAATCTAAAAATGGGCTGATCAGGGGAAACTGGTGGCGAAGATGAAGATAATTAAAAGGGGATTGAATCAGGGGCATTACCAACGTGAATCTCACGATATTGGGAGTAACATCGCTTGGACATAGGGGATGGTTTACGCTACTCGGTCTTCAGACTCTCGTACAAAAAGGAGAAACTCGAAAACGAACAGAGAAGGGGGGAACATTACGAATCGGTGGTATTTACAAGAAAAACAAGGTG